TTTCTTTTCTCTGTAAGTTTATGTATAGTTGTTTTATTATTTTTTATATTTGTTTATCGAATATATACTCCTAAAATGTTTCTTTAATTTTGTATTTTTTTTAAGTGGTATAGTTCATTATCCTTTTTTTTTTTGAGATTAAGACGATTTTTTTTCAATCTCAAATGCTTTTCTTAAAAATCAAACATTTATGCAGTTTTAATGTATCATATAAACTTGGTTTACTATTATGCTAAGGAACAAAAATAAAAATTTAAAAAACATTCTGCACTGGTTTTTAAGGGCTCTTTTTCTATATACAAACAATTTTCTATTATTTGTATCAGTTTTTTTTTTCATTAAAGGTATAAAATTAATATTCTCCAATTTTAATGTAGAATTTAAAAAAAAAAAATTCCTTCATAAATTTTTACGAAAATAATATTTTAATGTTTTGTAACAAAATCCTCAAAAAGCGCAATTTAACAAAAAGAAAACACCTTGTATTAAGCTTTATTTTTTGAATATAAAACTTGATTAATATTTGATATTAGTAATAATTTAATTAAATGTTCTTACAATCCAAACATTTCTGACAAAAAAAAATAGTTTTTTTTGTTGTTTTTGTTGCATCCTATCATCTTTCATACATTTCGAGAGCATCCAGGTTTTATTCCTATATAATGCCACCTAAGATAAAAATAATCATGGATTATGGTTTCCCATAATCCAATTCCATTGGCTTGGCGTCCATATAACTCGGTTCCTTTGTTCACGTCTGTCATCAATAGCATGAAATTCTTGGTGCATTCCAACCCATATCGACTGCCGAAATCTAATATAGTGGTAGTCATTTCCTCAGAAGCGCGCCATTTAGGGTTCTCTTTTTATTTCTTTATACGAGAGTTCTTATCCATTATGCAAGGTTCTCTTCAAGGTATGTAGAGATCGGTGTGGTGTTTATTCTGCATATTTCTATCGAAGGTCAGAGGGGTATGAAGTAACTAGTCAGTTTAATTTGAGTCAATGAAAATAATAGAAAATTCTCCTTGACTTTTTAAAAATGAAATATATTTGAAATATATATAAATATATATTTATACATATATATATATGTAATTCCTGGCTGCGTGGAATTTTCTAGCTTTTACATTTTATGGTTATGTTGTAGTCATGGCATATTGGAGACTTAATGCTTGTAACTTTTTATTATTTCTGATCAGGACATTGCAACAGTTCACTCAAAATCTGATTTTAAAAACACAAAAGCATATAAGCGAAAGCAGACAGCGACGAGACATGTTGTTGGAAAGCAGACAAAGAACAAAGAGAGTGAGCACACAGTGCTCTGGTTTATAGACTGGCTGTGAAGGTCGTGCGACTCTTTTCTAACGGGAGTCGTGATTGGTTGCAAACACGTGCGAGCAATTAGATTAAGATTAAGATTAGCACATTAGTCTGCACCGAAGAATTAGAAAATATGAATGAGTTAATTTGAAGAAGGCTAGAGGGAGTCATTACATATATATTCATATATAGAGAAAGAAAGAGCCAGAAAGTTCAATAATTTATTTTAAAAAGATAGCTGACAAGCAAAATTTATCATCTTGTAAATATCGCATATTTATGTTTATCGATTATTTAAACAATATTACTATAGCGTTTCATTGAAAAAGGGATTCAGAACATTTTACTTTGTTTGTAAATCAGACGGAAAGTTGTGACGGATCTATACGCGTCCTTTCACTAACCCTCTTGGGAAATCTATGGGACTATTAAAAATATCAACCTTCTCCTAAGAAGAAGACGTGATATGCAAATTAAGTTTATCATATATAGTTCAAGTTCGCGAGTTAAAAAAATAGAAATTTAGTTTTCTAAAGATGACAAGTGAGATACAAGGAGAAGATTACCGAAAAAGTTTAGAAAGTCCGTCTGAGAGATTAAAGACAGGAAGGTGATATTGATAAAGAAGTTGAAGGAATAAGCTTTAATTGATAAGAAGACTGCCTACATTTCAGGTATTAGTCATCTTCATATTACGTTTGATATTTAAAGTATAAATGAAGTTAAGTGGCAATTAGTCACATACCTACCGTGTAAAGCCATATTGAGGAAGAAGATTGATTATTATAAAGTGGTTAATTTATTAGATGTATTCTCCAAAAACCCGACTCTCATCTCCTTCCTCTGTTAACTAATTGGAAACATCCTATTTATTATTGTTAGTTGAATTATCTTTGAGTTAATTTAAACGTTGAATAAATAATTTGAAATTATCCTGTCGAATTATATTTCACTTTTTCCTACACCTTTAGATGGGTCACAAGGGGACTGGTTACTTATGATGCTTTCTTCTTTAAAGTGCTATCCACACAGAAACTGTTCTTATCTTTGCATCACTTGTGAAAAAAACGACCTAAAGTTCTCGCGCAGTGTGTGTCATACCCAAGGGTGTTTACATTGTGTTTTTACCGTAAAATTTGTATACAAAGGTTAAAAAGGAAGAAAAGTAGGAAATACAATGTATTTATTACATTTTTCAAACTTAAATTTAGCTTTTCTGTTCTTTTTATAAGGGCATTCAGTTAATAATGCCTTATGTTAAAACACTCCTTTAATCTCGTCATGAGTTAGTGCAATGTTTTCACTGGATCTTAATTTTTTTAATCTCTGTATCTTTTGAAAACTAAACATAAATGAGTAACTTCTCTATTCTTTAACTTCAAAAGTTTTGGAATTTTTTTTATGTTTTCTCTTATTGTTCCAGCAATAGTTTTTTTATTCAAAAGTTCATCGGAAAGTGAATAAGATGTGTACCAGTTATCTCCTTTAAAATTACATTCTTCTCAAATGTTTTTGTGTCCCTACATATAAAACATTTATTAGAGCGTTTTTCACGTAGTGGAACAAAAGCGCTATTAGGACGCAAATTTCGTCTTCGTCCCATATTTTGTCGTACCTTTTTCTCAGCCAATAAGCAACCAATTGACCTCGGATTTTCGGCATTTGGTCGCATTTGTGCCCTAGATGAGCCGAATCATATTTAAATTTAATCATTTATAATTTTTTTTAAGTACAGTACTACTTTCTGTTAGTAAAAAGTTCATTAGTTGCATTATTGTAAAATACAACATGTGAAAAACGCGCTAAAATTACTTGGCCATGCCAATGATTGATATCTTGTTTTCAACAGTGTCTCCTTTTTCTAAATCTGGATCGATTTCAGTGGAGGAATCATACTTGCTGTAATACTCTTCATTTGCTTTTTCCTCATCATAACCAGGAAAAGAATTTCTTCAACCGAAAATCCTGTTGTAGTACATCTATTAAATACTGTATTTATTAAATTACTTAAATATCACATTACTTCATCATAACTACAATAATACGCTATAGAATAAGGAAGATTTTAAAGCATACTCACGTATTAAAAAATGTAACTCAACTTCACGCGCAGGGTGCGACAATCCCGAGGGAGTGGTATCCAAAGATCTATTTTAAAAATTCGCTGACAAGCTTGATCCCCTTGAAGGTTATGATCTTAAAGTCAACTAGATCAGGAATCATCCATTTTCCAAAAACGGTTTAGCAGGAGTGTTGAAAAAAGTTAAACGGTGGGTCTGACACACCCTGCGCGAATGGTGCTGGGTTGAGTGAGTGAGAATTATATCAACATCGCATTATAAAGCAAGAAAAGCTCTATTGGAGACAGACCTCGTAGCCTTGAGCCTCGGTCAAATGACAAGAATGACACCTGCGGTGACCCCTTCCTCTCCTAGCTACCACACCAACAAGAGGGTAATGAGCATCAGCAGATTTAACGCGCATGGGTTCTATCTACATGGCGCATCTTCAGTGGCACCGGCATTCGAACCCTCGACATTTCAGGCATGATTTCGTGACCATAATCATTAGGCTTCCACAGCCACATGTAAACTGTTCTTAATATTACTGCAGGAAGTATATATATTCTTAATCTCCTGATACTTCTTTCAGATTTAACTTACTAACCCTGGTTGTTCAAAAGGACTATATGAGACCTTAATCAAGCTTACCAAACAAATTTGATTTTCCATTTAATTAAAAGTGCAATGAACTTATTTTAATTCGATCGACGGCTACCTGATATATCACTGCAGTTTGAATTGATATCATGATTACCTCCGAAAATATTAAAAATTGATGCTTCGTCAAATACCAGCACTGGAGCAGGTATCTTATAAAAAGATCTGTTCGAGAAAAGATATTTATAAAGATTTAAAATATAGAGAAATAAAATAATTTCCAGAACGAATTTTTAGAAAATTTACCTTCAAGTTGATATGACATGAGAGGAAAATCTATCCAAATCCCATCCAGGAAAAAAATAATGAAATACAGATATGTTAGCGTCGTACTATTTTGCAACAAAAAGGCTGTTGGTGAAGAATCTCATAATTTTGAAACTTGTCAAGTGACAAAGACAACACCAGAGGTGGCCCCATATCTCCCAGCTACAACACCAACGAGTGGACATTGAGACTCGAGAGATTAAACGTGCATCGGCCCCCTGTACAAGGTGCTTCAGTGGCACTAGGTCTTGGAACCTGAAACACTCCTGCCACGAGTTCATGACCGTAATCACTAGGCAACAGTGGCAACAAAAACAATAATGAAGAAATTTGGATGTAGCAATCTAAGTGGTGAGAAAACGTGTGGTAAGTAAGTCTTATTTTTGTCTTTTTCAATTCATACAATTAGTTCTCACTCTCTCCCTATATATATATATATATATTATTAACGATTTAAAATTTGAACAAGATATATGTATATATTTCTTGTTCACACAAATTTTAAATCGTTACTAAAATATTTTCTATTAACCCTTTCAAGTTCAAATTTATTTTTTTAAAACTTCTTGTGGATGATGTTAATACAGTTGTTTCAAATATTATTTCATTAACTATATTAAAAAATGAATAAATAGTAACAAAAATAATAGTCCAACAGCACATATAGAAAGAAAAATCGTTCGTTGTGTCCCTGTAGAGCAATGGATAGCGCGTTGGGGTTCTAATCCAAAGATCGTAGGTGTTCAAATCCCACCTGGGATGACCTAATTTCTGAGAAAAAGATTTCCTTTTTAATGTACTATTTTATTAGAATTATTAAATTTAATTAATGAATAAATAATAAGAAACAAAAAAAGTCCAACACCATATATAGAAAAGAAAATGGAAAATTTCAAGGAAAATCATTTTCTATTTTGTCACTTATTAAGGTATCCGACAACCCTAAAATAGTGAATTTTGCCAAAAATTGACAAATTTTTTTTTTTTAGGATTTTATTTTATGGGCCACATATTAGCTTTATAAAAATACCAAGTTTATCATTTTCCGTTCACTAGAACAAAAACTACAAGTGTTTTAGTAAAAGCAGATGCGATTACTTTAACCAAGATGTCATATTTTAAAACGCGTTTTACTCGAAATGTGATTTTTTGAAAATAATCAAACGGGGTCAGCGATTGCTAAAAAAGTTTTGAACATAATTAACTGAAATTTTTTTCTGTTAAGTTCTGTATAATAGTAGAATTGTTTTAACACATTCAGATTTATCACACACACACACAATCACCGTTTTATTACAAAATTTATACTCACTTATGTGAATATAATCACTGTTTTTCTAAGTAATTTCATGTAATAACTGAGATAAAGTGCTCTGGTCTTTGTAAAAAAGAAAATATCTCTTATTCTGAAGGTCATTTCAAAAATAAATAATATACCAATACATTAAATTGAAAAAATTGAAAATTTGTTCATAAACCCTTGGTACAGAATGGAACACGTTTATGCTATTTTTTGTAAATTTTTACCTATTTTTTCCATTTTAGTAATAATAATTTCTTTTTCTCTTCTTAATTTTAGCACATTTTTCTTAAAATGCACTAAATAAATCTAAAAATAATAAAAATATCCCCATATCTCCTTTTTTTAAAAAAAAAAGTTGTCGCAATCAGTCGGATACCTTAATATGATTCTGTTATATGTATATAAATGGTTATATTATATAATTGTAACTATATATTTAATAAAAAGTAACTAAAACAAAATTTTTCTCTGTTGATCTAAGTAGGAATTGACTTAAATTTTTTTTTTTTACATTACTTGTTATTAGCTTGCATACTTTTTTTCGCAAATAATACATAATTTATGTCATTATATTATTTTTACTGCAAATAAAATTTACGATGTGTGATTATTTCAGAATTCTACATTGATATTATTAAAAGTAAGAAAAACTAGTAGAGTGTGAATGCTTTACATAAACTTTATTTCCCAGCGTTTATTTTTTAATGTAAATATTTTTAACATTAATTAATTAGCACCACAGATAAATGTCAATATTTTCTAACATTTTGTATAAAGGTAATGAATGACAAGGTAAAAACGAAATTTCAAAGTACCTTCTTTTAAACAAGATATAGTAATGGTATTTGTGTTTGTGTTCTCTATTTTTGTACAAAATGTTATTTTATATACTTCGCAAAGCAGGCCTAACGTGACCAATCAATGCAGGTATGGGTCGTCGGGAATACAGGAAAAAATATCGTGTCCTTCACGGAATCCGCATTCTGTGAGTCACGTTCAATGCAATAAAAATGGATTGGGAATGCACTAGGAACGTGATTCTGTAAAGCCGTAATAAACTATTCGACTGAACCTTTTGCTGTGAAAGATAAGTAATTGCATGATGCAGTTTTATACTGCTGAAATGTAAACTTCATTCTTCTTATACATTTGATTATGAATTTTTCACTAAGATTTAAAATTTTTTAAAGACAAGTTGCTTTCTCTCTCTCTCTCTTACAAACGATTATTACCCAGAAAATAAAGCTAATTAGTTTTGAAAGACCAATCAAAATAATCGAGGAAGTAATTCTAATTACGGGTTAAGTAATTATATAAATTTCAATAGGATAATTGAAAAATGTTTTCTTAATTTAAACAATCTGAAATATATTTAATTGCATTTTCAACTAGAAAAAGGAATGAAAATAAAAAGTAATAAATTTTAAATGTTTATTTTTGTAAGGAAATATATCTATTAAATTTTTTAAAAAATTCTTAGAAAATATTTTATTGTAAATAATTTCTTACGGAACATGAAATACTTTCTGCATATAATAATTATAACTTACTTTTATTTCAATTGAATTTAACACCTTTTTAGGGGTAAAAAATAAATTGTTTGGAATTCAATTGATATTATTTATTTCTAACTCAATCCAGTTGTTAATTAAATTGTTTCTGCTGTTATATAATTCGCATATAGGAATCTATTTTTGTAATATCCGTATAAAACTGTCAATTAGACAAAATTATTTATCTTTTTCAATTACTTACATAAACAACCAACATATTTAAATCAAATTTAACTTCCAAATTCATATTTCAGATTTTCCATAAACTCATTTTTGTATAACGTTAATTTATATAATTTATATACAAATTAAACACATACTCTCTCTCTCACACACACAAACATATATATTTACATGTATATGACATAATATGCACTTGAATTAAGACATTCTATGGGACGGAAACGATTACTTTGATCGTATTCGTTGAATGGATTGACTTGTTGCTATTCTAAAAACCACATACAGGTGATTACAATATTTTGCATTTACCCAAAAATGAATAAAAATTATTCCTTCATAGTATTCCTTTAAATTCTTGAAAATATTTGGGGTTAAAACTGAATACATGTAAGCGTCTTTAATAGATTATTGGTCTTTAAAATTGCAACACCAAAAAAGAAAGAAACAAAATTTAACATATTGTACTAATACAACACAATGAGAAAATACATAATAAAACTTAAAAAGCAATTTGTAGGTATATAGGGTCAATTGAAATTTCAAAAATGACCTAGTCAAATTTGATACAAATGACCAATTTTTCCTTCTTGTCATTTGAAAATCTTTGAACAAAGTTGGTTCTATTATGGCTAAATTACTTATTGCAATATCCACTTTAAAAACCCTCATACTTTTTAATCTAGTTGTAGCAGATTAGAAATGAATCTTTGATAATGAAAAATTCAATTCAATCTCAATAGAACTTCGAAATAATTAAAGAATGAAGCAATTTGAAATCTTTTAACATACTTAGATAATATAAAAGTTAAACAGTATTTTCATTAATTATAAAAATGTCTCTGTCTAAAATATTTTCTAAATTTCAGACCATCCCCATAATAACGAATTCTCTGAATAAATTCACAAATATTGTCAAATTTTCATTATTAATTAATGTATACATTAATTTTATTTTAATATTCTATTTTAAAACAGAAAGCACAGAAAGTAGCTTAGTTATTAGAGACAACTTTATAATAGTGACATATTTAAAAAAGTGGTAAAAAAAGAACATGCGCCTTAAACAATGCAAATATTTGAGGGAAGGAGGTGATTTTCCTTCACTTGAAATTTTTCGTTATCTTTTAATCCGTTTTTAAAATATATTTCTTTGTTCTACAATCTAAGAATACCTGGGGAATGTGTCTGAAAGCAGAAAATGACAGTTTTTAAGACGACGAGGGACTATGTGGTTAAACAAATCTGCATTTTAGATTGTATTTAGTCTCTAGTCTTACACTGTCGACTTCTTTTGCTTCAAGAGATTAATCCTTTTTAACACATTTTAAGACCAAAATAAAAGAGTCTTAATCGGCTTGCGGCTGTTCTGTACATTTAATGCGATGTGACATCAAACTACGCAGGAGAATTAATGAAATACTCAGAAAATTTCCTTCTGTAAGGTGGTCAGTTTTATTCGCTTAGCACTTCTCTCCTTTTGCGTCTTTTTTTATTTTCTTTCTCTCTCATTAACTTAACGAGATATGTTGTTAGATGCTGAGCCTCGCTCTCAGCTGCCATTTTTGTCCCTAATTAGTCTTTCACCTTCTAACTAACTTTGAAAACTTTGTGGAATCGGGTTTAGGCAATGAAGGTTAAAAGCTTCTAGACACCCGAGAAGGTAACTTAATCACTCTGAAGAAGAAGAGAAATAAATAGGGTGTAGAATTAGTGTAGTACGGCTATTGAGTTAATAGGAAACAAAGATTTTGTGTATCAATGTCGAAAATATTTAGCAATGAGTTTGAGATGCTTGCATTCTTTTGATTTTGCTAAAGTAAATTTAAATGGTGCTTTTTTAGTACCCTGTTTTATTTATTTATTTTGTTCGATTTTCTTAATTATTTTGCTTTATTTGACTTTTTCAACACTTCTAAAAACCTTTTAATAAGTGATATCTAAAGAAGTTACTGAAAAAGAATATAATTTAACTTTATTTTAATATCTTAAATGCGATAAGAACAAAAGTGTAAGGATTTTCAGCTTCTAAATAAATAATTTTACATTTTTTATAGATGTTTAGAAGATTTTGATAGATATTTTATTTGTGAAAAAATAAATACATGTTAAAACCATACATTTTAAAAAAACAATAGCTTGAGTTGGAAACTAAATAGCCTGGTGATTTCCTTGACCCTCATCAAGAGACACTATCTAATATCAAAAGAATAATAACCTCTCATAATTTAATATAAAAATAGTGAACATGATTTCTTAATTTTTTGTAATCTTATATACAAATTTTGAGTTTCTCTAAGATTTATTTGCAAAAAAAGATAGCACACAAATAATACGTACAAGATCTTAGCTTAATTGACTAATAACAGAAATGATAAAATGGCTTCATATTTACTGTTCAATAAATATAAGATAAATTATTTTATATATGAAGACTTCCTCACCCAAGCGTAAGCATATCGCTTCAACAGTTTCTTAAGTAAGCGTGAAAAATAAGTAATTAATAAATTTCGCTCGTGTACTTTATATTAATATATGTGTGAAAAGTACACTACATTCAACATATTACTTAAAAGTCATTAAATGTAAACATAAAATGTACTTAGATGCATAACATGATGGTTTCCAGTGCGTTTTGTTTATTGTTAACATATTTGGACAAAAAGGACAGAATCAACAGTTGCATTGAATTTTTATGTGACAAACGTTTTGTCGGCTATGCAATT